TTTTCTTCATATGTCTAACACCTAAACACAATTCAGTTTTCACATAGGAAGTCCTGCTAGAAGTTACCCGATTGGCAGATCACCCATGTGTTCCGTTGCCTTACTCCGTCAACCACTGACACAAATTTTATTGCTGACATTTTGTAAATAAAGTTACATTTCACCTTTGTAGATATTTCACCTTTTTTGGGACACCTTTGTATGTATTTCACCTTTTAGGACACCCTGAAGAATGAATTAGTCGTCAGTCAACTTATATTTGGCCCTAATAATTGCTACGACTCTATGAGATTTACTTATAAGCAATAGGAATTTCATAAAATCACACTTTAACAATGATTTACTGTAGTGTAACACAAGTCAGTGATGCCCAAACTTTTCGATTGGAGGGCCAAATTGCCCATAAATCATAGTCAGGTGACCATAAATATTATGTATATTCCATATATTATAAAAGTATGCCTATTTTTATCATTTGTAAGTAATGAATGAAATTTTGTTATTTCCTATTACTAAAGCGATATCTCAAGGTTCTCTATATTCACAAGATACAGAATGAAGAACGTTGGTAATTTCGATTGATTTAGAAGATGCGCACGGCACAATTTCACCCTTTTCTGGTTGATAATTCCCGAATAAAGCCGAGTACTTCAGGTAGTGAAAATTGTAAAACTCGACAAAATATAAATAAATAAATAAAGTTTTGATAATGAGAAGAACGGCGATGCCCGGACGAAATAGCTCTTAGGTCCTGATTAATTTGGAAATAACGTATATTAAATTTCAATTTCATTTACGTCTTCAATTTAATATACATTAAATTTTGTTAAAAATAGAAAAATAAAAGAAAATCCTATTTTATCAAAAGAGTTGTTAAATAACTGCCATATTTTGATAAATAAAGAAAATTTACAGAAAATTATTTATTATACTGACAACTGAACGACAGTAAACCCCGCTAACTCGGAAGGTTGTCCGAATTAGCGGGCTGTTTTCTCCTATGTGGAATACGCAGATATACAGTAAATTTATTACGATTAGTTGTATACTGAGCTGAGATGATATTGTTAAATTTATTATTACAGGAAATCAGCTCAAAAAATTGTTATGAAAGTACAGAATACAGCAATGTACTGTACAGTCTTTAGTAACTTGCCGACTACAGTAATGTAATATAATGCACGATATCGGAAAGACTTTATGATATCGAAAACACTCATTAATTATAATTTTTTTATTGTCAAGAAATTTTAAATTACTGTTTCGGTGAAATTTTTCCTAGTTTTGTAAAGTTGGAGTCAGCGGGGACTTATTGTATATTATTTAATTTTTTGTGAAAATTCAGAATTAAATATTTTTATATTTATTTCTTTGTTGAATTAAAATTTATTGATAAAAGAAATTATTAATTTATTTAAATTATCAATTAATAGTGTTAAAATAGTCGATGATAAATAACAGACGACATTTGTGAAAATAGTTCCGGTATGCGTAATGATATTCAATAAGTTTTTTGATAAAAGTACAGTATATAAAACTATAACGTTTATTTATATTTGAAAGATTTAATAATTTTAAATTAAAATTTGCATATATTTACTCACACTCATCAATATACATATATATTTTTTAATTATTAAAAATCTGTTTTTAATTTATACACAGAACTCTTTTGTCGCGGAAGACATTCGCGCCGCAAGCAAGCTAAAATGGTGGCCAGTGACAGTGCTATATGCCATAATGAAATATAGAGATTATTCTAGTTGTTTTTATACTTTTTATTTGGTGTTTTAAAGGATAATCTTCATTAATGACAATTGGTGAGTATTGAAAAGAATTTCTTTAAACGTTTATTGATAAAACACATGACATTTATTACAGTAGAATCCGCTTAATGTAATCACTTTGGGACTCTCGTACACTAGTAAAAATACCATTAAACGGGATAATGGAATAAGAATATAGTGGAAATTCTGCTTTTATCGAGCCTGAGATTGAAAAGATACGTTTAAACAATTAAAAACTTTATTACTTTAAAATTTATTCATTATAATAATAATTATTATTATTGTGTAACTTATCTGGTATTGTTCATCTGAACCACCTTTACATGTTAGGAACCTTGTTTATTGTTATTACATGTTTAATTACAACGATTAAACCTTAATATTTAATACACTGGTTAAGACACTTGGTCTGACAATACGAAAAGCGAGCTTAATAACATCAATTTACACAAAGTTAATGATAAAAATTTACCATTAAAATGGAAGCTGGATATCTCGTGAATCAAATGACATTACCAATTTTGATTTGGTTAAACTTTACCTATGTGCACCGTCATGGCCGCACAGTGGAAACCCACGTTCTAACCTAACCTAACCTAACCTATTCTAATAAATTTAGTAATTTATTACTAAATTTATTAGAATAGGTTAGGTTAGATCGTGGGTTCCCACTGTGCGGCCATGACTGTGCACGTAGGTACAGTTTAACCCCAATTTTATTTACCAAATGGGTTGTTAATTTTTTTCCCCTCTTATCCGCCAAAATCAAAGAGGTGGTGGCATATTATTAATACAGTATTCCCTATATCACTTCATGTATTCAAAATTTTTGAATATTGGGACTCCATTATAGCTATTAACATTCCAGATCTCCAATNATATTGATAGGAACAAAAAAGTCAAAGGAACCGTGCCTCATGGAAATTTGTAAAAAACGCCCACTAGGGGGCGTCCCGGGCTACTAGTATATTATATAGGCCTATTTATGTCTAGTAATATGCTGTTGCAGTCAGTTAAAAAAGTTGACCTCATTATTATCTTCTTTTAAAATTTTACATTATCCTTTAATATAGGATAATATAGCCTATATACAGTATATTAAAAGATAAATATAATTTAGAAAATAAGCTTTTAAATGACTGCCGCACGTTATTAGAAAATATACAGTACACTCTGTGCCCAAAAGTATTGGAAGTCAGGAAAATTTGCCTTTTTTGTAATCTGATTTTCAGTTATGAAATTGAATCACAATCAGTATTATACTGTATATTTTGTTTCCTTATCAAATAGACACTAACCGAATAGGAGATAAAAGCATAAAAGAACAGAAGATTGGTTAATGATATCTTTACATATACTCTTTAGGTAGGTTTACAGGGTGCACCCAAAAGTCTCCATGCAGTGACGCAAATCAAGCTCACCAGTGGCCGAATAAATAAAACCATTGAACACTGGTAGTTGGTGCCTGACCAATGGGCTGACCACCATGCAGTGTTCTGGGTTTTCTTCATATGTCTAACACCTAAACACAATCCAGTTTTCACATAGGAAGTCCTACTAGAAGTTACCCGATTGGCAGATCACCCGTGTGTTCCGTTGCCTTATTCCATCAATCCACTGACACAAATTTTATTGCTGACATTTTAATGTTTTGTAAATAAAGTTACATTTACCTTTGTAGATATTTCACCTTTTTTGGGACACCTTTGTATGTATTTCACCTTTTAGGACACCCTGAAGAATGAATTAGTCGTCAGTCAACTTATATTTGGCCCTAATAATTGCTACGACTCTATGAGATTTACTTATAAGCAATAGGAATTTCATAAAATCACACTTTAACAATGATTTACTGTAGTGTAACACAAGTCAGTGTTGCCCAAACTTTTCGATTGGAGGGCCAAATTGCCCATAAATCATAGTCAGGTGACCATAAATATTATGTATATTCCATATATTATAAAAGTATGCCTATTTTTATCATTTGTAAGTAATGAATGAAATTTTGTTATTTCCTATTACTAAAGCGATATCTCAAGGTTCTCTATATTCACAAGATACAGAATGAAGAACGTTGGTAATTTCGATTGATTTAGAAGATGCGCACGGCACAATTTCACCCTTTTCTGGTTGATAATTCCCGAATAAAGCCGAGTACTTCAGGTAGTGAAAATTGTAAAACTCGACAAAATATAAATAAATAAATAAAGTTTTGATAATGAGAAGAACGGCGATGCCCAGACGAAATAGCTCTTAGGTCCTGATTAATTTGGAAATAACGTATATTAAATTTCAATTTCATTTACGTCTTCAATTTAATATACATTAAATTTTGTTAAAAATAGAAAAATAAAAGAAAATCCTATTTTATCAAAAGAGTTGTTAAATAACTGCCATATTTTGATAAATAAAGAAAATTTACAGAAAATTATTTATTATACTGACAACTGAACGACAGTAAACCCCGCTAACTCGGAAGGTTGTCCGAATTAGCGGGCTGTTTTCTCCTATGTGGAATACGCAGATATACAGTAAATTTATTACGATTAGTTGTATACTGAGCTGAGATGATATTGTTAAATTTATTATTACAGGAAATCAGCTCAAAAAATTGTTATGAAAGTACAGAATACAGCAATGTACTGTACAGTCTTTAGTAACTTGCCGACTACAGTAATGTAATATAATGCACGATATCGGAAAGACTTTATGATATCGAAAACACTCATTAATTATAATTTTTTTATTGTCAAGAAATTTTAAATTACTGTTTCGGTGAAATTTTTCCTAGTTTTGTAAAGTCGGAGTCAGCGGGGATTTATTGTATATTATTTAATTTTTTGTGAAAATTCAGAATTAAATATTTTTATATTTATTTCTTTGTTGAATCAAAATTTATTGATAAAATAAATTATTAATTTATTTAAATTATCAATTAATAGTGTTAAAATAGTCGATGATAAATAACAGACGACATTTGTGAAAATAGTTCCGGTATGCGTAATGATATTCAATAAGTTTTTTTGATAAAAGTACAGTATATAAAACTATAACGTTTATTTATATTTGAAAGATTTAATAATTTTAAATTAAAATTTGCATATATTTACTCACACTCATCAATATACATATATATTTTTTAATTATTAAAAATCTGTTTTTAATTTATACACAGAACTCTTTTGTCGCGGAAGACATTCGCGCCGCAAGCAAGCTAAAATGGTGGCCAGTGACAGTGCTATATGCCATAATGAAATATAGAGATTATTCTAGTTGTTTTTATACTTTTTATTTGGTGTTTTAAAGGATAATCTTCATTAATGACAATTGGTGAGTATTGAAAAGAATTTCTTTAAACGTTTATTGATAAAACACATGACATTTATTACAGTAGAATCCGCTTAATGTAATCACTTTGGGACTCTCGTACACTAGTAAAAATACCATTAAACGGGATAATGGAATAAGAATATAGTGGAAATTCTGCTTTTATCGAGCCTGAGATTGAAAAGATACGTTTAAACAATTAAAAACTTTATTACTTTAAAATTTATTCATTATAATAATAATTATTATTATTGTGTAACTTATCTGGTATTGTTCATCTGAACCACCTTTACATGTTAGGAACCTTGTTTATTGTTATTACATGTTTAATTACAACGATTAAACCTTAATATTTAATACACTGGTTAAGACACTTGGTCTGACAATACGAAAAGCGAGCTTAATAACATCAATTTACACAAAGTTAATGATAAAAATTTACCATTAAAATGGAAGCTGGATATCTCGTGAATCAAATGACATTACCAATTTTGATTTGGTTAAACTTTACCTATGTGCACCGTCATGGCCGCACAGTGGAAACCCACGTTCTAACCTAACCTAACCTAACCTATTCTAATAAATTTAGTAATTTATTACTAAATTTATTAGAATAGGTTAGGTTAGATCGTGGGTTCCCACTGTGCGGCCATGACTGTGCACGTAGGTACAGTTTAACCCCAATTTTATTTACCAAATGGGTTGTTAATTTTTTTCCCCTCTTATCCGCCAAAATCAAAGAGGTGGTGGCATATTATTAATACAGTATTCCCTATATCACTTCATGTATTCAAAATTTTTGAATATTGGGACTCCATTATAGCTATTAACATTCCAGATCTCCAATTGATTATTATTTCGATTTATGCTCCTCGTCCTAAAAGAATGAGTATTTTTCAAACTTTATACCGTCTTCTATGCTCCTTCGGATATATACATAACCAGAGACTTATTCTTTGTGCAGATTTTAATCTATCCAATGTTTTCTGGACTACTACTGGTCCAAGTTTTGTAGTTTGAATCTGCTGAAGCTTTTTTTTTTTTAATAAAATATATTATTTTTTCAACTTTCCTCAAGGTATTTTATCTCCTTCTCGTGATAATTCTTATCTTGATCTGGCATTCTTTAATAAATGCTCCATAACTCCTCCCTTACCAACGGTTCGGTTCTTCTTCTTATCACTCGGCTATTTGTTTAGACGTTTCAGTTTTTTCTGAAACTCGTAAAACTAAACGTTTCATTAAAATTCCTATTTGATCACAATTTAATCAAAAAGCCACTACTAGATATTTATGCTCTTTGGATTTGTCATTCGTAGAATCTTCTCGTTCGCCAGTTCCTGTTATTACCAATCTCACCTATAATATTTTAAGTTCAACCATTGGAAAGTATTTAAAATTACAAAATCGACGTTTCTTTATACAAATGGTTTTTTTCTCATCTTACAAAACTACGTAATATTCTTAGAGAACAATGGTGCAAGTGGAAAAAATTGGCAATCCAAGAGACCTATACCTACATAGAGTTATAAAAAAGACGATATCGTAAGGAATGTTCATTGTCTTTTTATAATTTATTTTAATAGAATAGTCGATTCTTTTGCCTTTTTTCTTCGCAAATTTTTTCTTCTCATTTTCAGAAGTCTCGTATGCTATTTATTTACTTAATACATCTACTTTCAGTCCAGATCCATATTTCAGCTGCGTTTTATAAATCTGAGCAATCTATTTCTGCTGTTATACTTTTCAAACTTTTTCTCATTATGTTCAATCTAGTTATGTTCCCAGTCAATGGATCTCATCAACAATTATTCCAATTCCAAAAAAGGATAAAAACACTGTTCGACCCATCACACTTTCCTCTACAATGTTAAATTTTTTTAAATCTGTGTATACAGTACAATTTATTATCCTTTATACAGTAAACTTATTCCTTTTCAGCATTCTGACATTCAACAACAACAACGAACTTCTTAGAAACTTTGTCTTATATAATTAAAGATTTCGAAATAAGCAGCCATGTTACATAGTATATAAAGATATAATATAAGCAGTGCATTGGATTATGTATTACCGAATATCCCTAATATACCACGTGAATAAGATATTGATCCTGCGATTCATTCTTGGTTTCTTATTAAGAACTTTTAAAATAGGCGATTATATTTTCCTTGATTTTGTTCCTTTGTGTGATATCCAATAAGGATCTATTCTTAGTGGTCTCTTCTTTTCAATGTATTTAAATCAACTTCTCTGCCATCTTAAATCTCATATTATAGCTTATGCCAATGACATAAAATTAATCTGTTCTGATCCATCTTACAATCTGATATCTATTTGCAGTATTAATAAATGTGTTTAAATCTGAAAACTTGAAAATTAATACAGAAAAAACAGTGGTTGTGTATTACATTTTGATCCGTAATCCTCCATTACCTGTTTTTTACATCTATTCTAATCCGATTAATTACATAACTTTTATTAGCGATTTAGGCATAGTTTTTGACACTAAACTTAATTTCAAAATCATATTGATAAACTAGTTAAATCCCTGACTACCAGACTTGGAATTTTTTGGCGATTTTGTAAGCCCATCTTTAATAAAAGAACAATACTGGCCATTTTATATGATAATTTTCAATCTTGCATTGATTATGGATTGCCCATCTGGTCAATGGCTGCACCTTCCCTTTTACACAAGATTAATTCTGCTATTAATTAATAAGATAAACCTCACGTTTATGTAATCTGCCGTTTACTATTGACTAATATTGCTAGAATTCGTCTAGGCTTCCCATCTTTCTTCTAGAGAATTAAATATTTTGATCGGTTAATATATTACAAATATTTTAATGGTCTTATTTATCAAAATTGGCTTTCACTTCAAATTCCATCGAGAAAACTTCACTCATTTACCTCTTTTTATCGTCTGAATCTATCCCAACGATCTTTCTTTTCACCGTATATCACAAAACCTTAATAATTTTGATAAATTTTTACATCTTGATCTCCTTGATTTTAAATTTGAAATATAAAAAAGCTGTATCTCTTTTAAGATTTGTTACATGTTTTTATTTCATTTTATTTATTTTTTGTTGTTGTTTTATTTTAAGGAGTGTTATTTGTTTTTAAGATATGTTTTTGTAAGGGGGCAGAAATCAAATGTCTATCAAGCCTTTTCCTGTAAATTTAATGAAATAAATAAATAAAAATTAACCGAATTGTGATTACAATAAGCGAAGTTTACTGTATATGCATTTATTTATATTAGCGCCATCCTTTTTATTGCCAAATTTTATTAAAATTTTAAGAAATCTTTTGCATTGTGATAAATTTACTTTACTTTATTATAAATACTTTTTCAATGAATTAATTATTAAATTAGTTCTAGACTAGATGTAACCTTCAATTAATTTTTTATTATAAATATGATGTTATTGCAGTGAAGAAATAAAAAATGAATTGTTAAAACACATATAACAATGCTTCAAAACTATTTAATATATATTTTTGGAGACAATTTTTATTAAAATATATGATAAATATTTCGGGCCGTCCAGAGAGAGGGGAAGCTGGGGAATTTTCCCGAGCCCGGAAAAACTTAGGGGCCTGTGGCGGTTTCAACTCCTATAAATTTATGTTGTTTTTATTAACAAAAAGTAAAATATTTACGACTTCCTTTTATTAGTAAAGAAATATTCTACATATTTCGTTTATTCACAAAAAAAAAAAATTGGCAAAATATGGGGCCAGCTCTATCATTGGGCCCCGTATAAGCTCTTTGCAGCTTTGTAAATATTACTTAGAAATCACTGAATCTTTACTTGAACTCGAATCAAAACTTAATGTAGCTTCTAAATAAAAACTAAAACATTAATAATAGAATTAAACAACTAGTGTTTAAACAGTCTTTAGAAGTAATTTGGTGGATTGTTGTCGTTTAATTTAATACATAATTTAGCAAATAAATTTTTCTGACAAGAAGAATTCTCGTGTTAAATAATGCATAAACAATAAAAAAAAAGAAACCTTAAACAATAACAGGAAAAAATTCTAATCTAATAATATTCAACTACATTGTAGCTAAATTAGACGTAACTAGTAAAATATTCTTTTTTTTTAAACATATGTTTTGATAAATGGATTTCATATTTATTCTATGAGCAAAAACATATCAAAGATAGCTTTTAAATGGTTATTAAATATTTGCAAAGATTATTTTTGATTCCATTATTTTGGATTTCTTTCTCAGATCAAGAATTCAGTTGTTAAAGCTCTGTATGTAGCCTAATTCTAAAAGACAGAATATTTTAAGATTTATTTTAAATAAGTAAAAAATAATAGATTCAATATACTATATTTTTTCTTTGATCTGGCATTCTTTAATAAATGCTCCATAACTCCTCCCTTACCAACGGTTCGGTTCTTCTTCTTATCACTCGGCTATTTGTTTAGACGTTTCAGTTTTTTCTGAAACTCGTAAAACTAAACGTTTCATTAAAATTCCTATTTGATCACAATTTAATCAAAAAGCCACTACTAGATATTTATGCTCTTTGGATTTGTCATTCGTAGAATCTTCTCGTTCGCCAGTTCCTGTTATTACCAATCTCACCTATAATATTTTAAGTTCAACCATTGGAAAGTATTTAAAATTACAAAATCGACGTTTCTTTATACAAATGGTTTTTTTCTCATCTTACAAAACTACGTAATATTCTTAGAGAACAATGGTGCAAGTGGAAAAAATTGGCAATCCAAGAGACCTATACCTACATAGAGTTATAAAAAAGACGATATCGTAAGGAATGTTCATTGTCTTTTTATAATTTATTTTAATAGAATAGTCGATTCTTTTGCCTTTTTTCTTCGCAAATTTTTTCTTCTCATTTTCAGAAGTCTCGTATGCTATTTATTTACTTAATACATCTACTTTCAGTCCAGATCCATATTTCAGCTGCGTTTTATAAATCTGAGCAATCTATTTCTGCTGTTATACTTTT